CTGCAGCTAGAAAAAGGGCCTCCCACCAGTGGTAACAAAAATCAAAACTACAAATCAAAACAACAGAAAACAACATACAATCTAAATAAAACTTTAAAATCTGGAGCAGACGGAATCGCCGTATTATTCCAACTTTCCGTCTGCCCGACTATAAGTTAATCATCCAGTCAATCAATGTGCACGCCAGCCGACTTCCGTAGCCAGCATGCATATGGCTGCTGTCCACGCCGATGTCCACTTTAAAAGGCTGGCAGCAGCAGGAAAAGAAACCTTGCAACAGGAACAGACGGTAAAAGCAAAGGCCCACACTTCCTGCAAAGTATAATAAGCATTTACTATAAAAGAACAATAAAAGGCAGAGATCGTAACAAACTGAATTACGTACCGAGTAAACAGCGTCACGAATCATGAGGACAGTGGCTCATTGGAGGCTTCCACAGCTACAACTTAAAAATAATATCTGTTTACCACCAAGTAAGGTAATGTACGCACTACACTGAGTAAACACCTACCAGCTGCGATGGAGGCTTCAGAAGAGTGACCCGCAGATGATCTCTGCAATACCAAGGGAAGTCAGGTGACCAAAAAGGAGATCACAGGTAAGCAATCCAGGAATGCTCAAATGCGGGGCGGATCTAGAGAAATTTTCTTAGGGTGGCAAAGAAATCAAATGGGGTGGCAAAATCAAAGCACCCCCCCCCCCCCCCCCCCCCAAAAAAAAAAAAAAAAAACACATATGCAGGTGGTTACATATGGTTAAATTGATTCAAATGCGGTAAGTATACACGTTTTTCATATAAATATTTTCTATAACTTAATTATTCTCTGTAGCCCACATAATTACACACTTTAGTTAGAATCAAAACACATGTTTTATGTATGTACTGTATAGCCTGTATAATAAATAAATATTTAGCCCAATAAGTATAAAATCCAGAAAGCTACACAACACAGGGCGGTTCATTTAAAAACACAAGTCTAACTTAAGTTTCACACTGTTTTTTGTTAGAAAACAATCAACTCATATGGCTCCTACAGTTGCGTAGAGACAAAAGTGGACAAAAGAGGGGCAAACTTGTGGCTCCACAAATATAATTATAACGTAACATATACTATATCAATATAAACAATATTGTCACATCTCATATCTCGTATAACAATATATCAATATATATTTAAAGACTCGATATATCGCCCAGTCCTAACACCAGACATAAAAAAGTAAGACTAGGTGTTTTCATGGTCCCTGTGCCTCGCTGGCAACATGTTTGTTTTGGTTTTCGCTCTCTCCCTCCTCCCTCTCCCCCTCTCGCTCTCTCTCTGTCGCTGCGGCGATGCTCATTGCGGGCTCCCGCTGCTGGCCCACACACCTGCTCTCATCACCACACCGGCCGCTGATCCCAACTGATTGCAGTACTACTGAAGATGGCGAATCTACGTTAGTCTTCGCCGGATCGTTGAGCTATCAGCGTCAGTCAACCTGTGCATCTGCAAATCTGAATCTGTAAGCTTTTGTAACTATCCCGCTAACCTGACCTTTTTGTGTGTAGATTGTTTCTGGAACCCGATTACGAGAGGAGTGGCAGAGGAGGAGGAGGACTTGGAGCTTTTGTACAGAGAGTGTACCTTTTCCCTGATCCCTGTTTCCCCACGGACCCTGGCTACCTGGACCCCCTTTCCCCTGCACATTGTATATAGCCACTTGGTGTTGTGTTCACTGTAAATAAACGCACTGTCTTTCGCATATAGGAAACAACTGGCCTGCGCCTGAGTCCCTGCTCGCTGCTGAAGTCAAAGTAAACTTTATTGTCATCTCCGCTACATACAGTCCAGTACATAGAGAGACGAGACGATGAGGCTCCAGTTACAGCAGTGCAAGTAAACAAACAATAAATATAAGAAGAGTAAGAAAATAAATATGCACTTTAGGACTCGGGGTAAAGGGATCAATAACAATTTAAAATTTATATTTTATATTTTGATGATTTAAAGTCTCACACACAACCCGTGGAAAGGGGAGGGAGAGGGGGGCACCAGAGGGAGTCTTCGCCCAGGGCGCCAAACAGGCTAGGACCGCCACTGCATCAAGACATCACATATTTGCAAAAGTGCTCTAACGTTTTCGGAGATGCCTGTTGCCCACAAGATGACCGCACAACATTTTTATTCTTGTTTGTTTTAACGGTATAAACAGTGAAAGGTGGTGGATTAGCCACTTGGTCATGATCAACTCTGGGCTGGACCAATTACAATACAGCCATATTGAGGTGAAAAGGAACACGATTCGTCTCGTACTTCAGCTAGAATGAAAAAAAAGACACAAAGCTGACGTTATTCTGTGTTTTTGCTGCACAACTGGCTGTTCTTCTCTCATTCTCTCTCCCTCCCTCTCCTGTTGCTACTTCAATCATGAAACTGATCAATGATCAGCTGATCGGCTTTCCTCTCTTGTTTGTTTATCGCCCACTTTGCGCCAGATATATAACGGTGTACACAAAGAGTTGAACGCACGGGCAGAAATGTTGAGAGCGCAAGCAACACATTGCGAGCAAGCACAAGTGCAAAAACTGAGCGAGAGGGGCTGCTATTGTGTGTGTTTATGGATAATAGCAAACACTGAAATACATTTTTTGCACACAGCAATGAATTTTGTTCACTCAAATTTAGCTTTTCTTCACTCAAAATAAATTTCTTCTCAAAATGCAACACTTGCACCTGCAAATGTTTTTTTTTACGTGCGCTCAGAATAGTGGCACAAAAATAACACCATATTTGTCAGGCTAAAACAAACTGAGAATAAAGGTGTTTGTTGTTTCTTAGCTTCCACTGACTCTCCTCTGTCAGAGTCTGTTAGAAAATGCCCTCGAAAATTTGCCTTCTTTGTAAGTTCATCGCTGAATTTTACAGGTTTTACTGTTGATCAGACATTCCCAAACTCCCTCCCCACAGCTTATTTTGGTCTTCCAGCTCATGTTGCTCTTTTTATTAGGTTAATTGAGTGACTTCTAAAAAAGCAACCCATCTTTTCTTACCACAGCTATAGAATGCCATAGAAGGGTTCACCCATCAAAAGTAGTTGCAGCAAACACACTAAACACCCAAACAAAAAAGTTTACCCTCCTAGTAATTTTCTGTGGAATTTAGAATGATAATCTATAAAAGCCTGCTCCCCAAGCCACAGTGGCTTCTGTCAGTTCTCCAGCTCTTTCAAAGAAATCTCCTTAATGTTAATCTCTTCCATGTTTTAGATTCCAAAAGGCTATAATCTTTACCATGAATATATAATTAGGTATTTGCATTTTTATAGAGACTCCCTGCCTTTATGTTCAGCGGGTCAACCCTTCATGCAAAACTTTCACGCAGTGAAAGTGTATTTAGTTTCAGTCTTGCTTTTAGTTCTTCTCTTTTAAACTGTATCCAAACAGAGCAGTTTGTAAATGTGTAACTTATCCCACAAAAATTGGATAAGCAGAGTAGGAAAGATCCAGTCAGTGATATCACAAAGCTAAAAATAGCAGAATAAGTCTAATTAATAGCATTTCGGCATTTTGTTCCAAGACCATGGCATTTTTGCATGAGACATCTGAAAGATAACTCATGTTTCATGAAGAACATACCTGAAGAGTGAGGTCAAGATTGTTGCTGTTTGCTTGGATCAGCAGGCTTTTTGTTTACCTGACCTAATAATCTAAACTTCCACATGGTTATTATTAATACCTTGGCTACCTGGATTTTCGTCAATTGCTTGGACAACCGGGATACTAAATTGTCCATGAATAGCAAGTCCTCAAAGGTGCAGTTTTTTTTTAATTGTACATATAAACATACATTGTTTCGTTTTTAACTGTCTTCCAACAAATTACTGCATTTTTGTAAATGTAATTAATCCATTAAAAATACATAGGAATGGGACGCCGGATTGCACACGCTGCCATGTTGCCTCTCCATCAATACTTTGGCCGAGATGAACAATGCCCTCTTGCCCAATTGCAGTTTATGTATATGGATAGAAACAGTCCACAGTACATAGTACAACAAAGTGGAAAAAAAATGTGAAGAAAAGCAATAATGTGACCCTCATCTGGATAAAATCTCTTCCTCCTCTTCTCCTGAACTGAAGTCGGGGCTCTTACACATGAAAATGGGCATTAACATGCCTCCTACAGAGTTAAGAGCCATGGACGTTCCTTGAGCTGCCATACACTCCTATTTTAAAATATTCAACTCTGCAGCTGAAAGAAAACACATTTCCAGCTGTCTGAGAGAAGTGAACAGGGGTGATATTTTCATAACTTAAAGCCAGTGTGAGTGTTTGAGAGATGCTGACAAGACAAGGTCAGTCAATGGCACTTTGTCGTCATGTTTGTCATTTTGTGCTTTCTGTAGCATGTTCGAATGCTCGAGATTTGGTGAACAAAATGGTCATTTACTTGTGTGGGACCGCAAATTAGCCTCTGTGGAGTCTGTGTGAGACACCCATACATAGTATAGCTGAGGTTTGCTAACAAAGCCTGCTAGTGTTAGCTGATAAACTTGAATGTCTGCTCCAATATCTATGAAGTAGCAGAGTCACTTAACATCTGATTCGAAACCTGTTTGTTAGTGTGTAAAATTTTCCACTGGCATCTGTTCTTCGCTATTAGGGGAAAAATACTTAAAAAGACCTCCATCCACAAACCAACACAACGTCACAAAGTAATCATGTTGTGGTTTAGGTTAGCTTAAGCGTGTGCATGTGTGTAATGAGGTAATAAGGAGTTACAGGCTGCGTGTAATCAGCTCCTGTTGTTAATGGAAACCCTTTTCCCAGTTGTTTACCATATTTCTATGACGACACTCGCGTTCATTTAAAACTAACATAAAGCCTCAAAATGAGCTCGAATTCTTCTAAACCACACTGGCAGGATACACTGCAGTGAAAGATCATATAAAAGTATCTTCAGGCCTCAGCCAACACCTCTTGATCAAACACAAAACCACAGTCGTGTTATCATCAGAGCATTTTAATACTGTTCGTTTTCTCAGCATTGCTTTTATGGCAAAAAAAAATGTACACAGAAATGCTATTGACAGACAGAAGAAAAACATACAACAATGACAAAAATACAAGTTTCCCTAAATAAACAGGGAAAGTAGTGTAACAAGCATGTTGAAAATATTTCAAACATTTCCTTCTCCTACGACTGTCCAAAGCAACACAGCGAGTGTTTCAGCTGATATGTTGGGATAAGGGGAAAACATGAACATCTGTGGCTTTGTTTGGACTGGAGAATTGACAAAATAAAACAGTGAAAACTGAAAATGGGTGCTTGATTTTGGACACTTTGGGAGTATTATATAAGGACAATATGGGGTTGGAAGCATAAAAAAGGGGACACAAAAACAGCCGTGAAAACACACACACATACACATCTGAACAATCAAACTCATGTAAGTTACTGCTGTTAGATAACTAAGAATCAAATAAGGCCTTTTTTTTGTCAAAATCCTCACAAAAATTGATTGCATGGTGCTTCATTTTTAGTTTGTAATTTGATGCAATGCCATATGTTGTGAGACAAAATAAAGGCTCTATTGTTCTCGAAATCCACATCAGCATGTAATATGACACTAAAAGATGTCGGTAAGGCTCGGGAGCAATGTTGCTTAGGCATTTCTCTGTAAACCTATTATACTCAGTGATAGAGTATGAATCCTTTTTTTTTAAGGAAGAAGATATAAAAAACTGCAAAAAATTATTTAATCTCTACCCCAGACAGGAGAAAAAAAAATAAAACAGATACATTTCATTGCTTTTAGCATTTACATTTCACAGTCTGGTTGGCAGTAAACAAGCAAAACTACACAAACCAATAATAGTCACTGATCAAAAACACACAATGATGATGATTAAAGTCAAGTGGCAGACAAGTAAGAGGGTAATAGCAAACAAAAAGCTAAAGGGGCCACTGTCTAGACGATATCACTGGAACGATACAGTCAGCAGCCCCAGGAGAAAACTAGTGCCTAAAACTCTAAATCTTTGAACTTCCTTTCTTGGCACGTGTGTGCTGCTTTATAGGAGTGAGCTCTGAGGCTGAAGGCCTTTGAACAGTTTAGGGATCTTTACTGTTCAAAAACAGTCTGAACCTTGTTTAACTATGTCTTTGTGGAGTGGAGGCAGACCTGGCAGAGAGACTAAAGTATCTGACACTGAACTTTTACATTCAGTTTAAATTTTGGAAAAAACAAAAAGCAGTCTGTATTTTATGTAAGAATGGCTGAGTTTTAATTAAAGTAGTTTTATGAATCAGCTTTTAGTAGATATTTAATTACTCCTCGCTGCTTTTGGATCTCATCTTTGGAGAACTTTAGCTTTGATTTACTTCTCCATTTACTTCTCCACTCAGGACAGTCAAAAATCCACCATTTATGCATGGGTTTATAGGCAGGGACAATTACTGTTTAAACTCATGTTAGCAATACTGCAAAAAAAAACAAAAAAAACAAAAGACATGCTAAAAATACAAAAATACATGACAAAAATGGAATACCATAATATCAACTAAACACTAATAATCTGCCTCTGATGGCACAGAACAATGCAGGCAAAGTCCGTTCCCATTTACCTTTCACAGCAAATATATTTCCCACAAAAAACAAATGATGTGGCAGAATTATGGTTGATGGGTCAGAAGAATCCAAATCTGCACAAGACACTTGCATGTTTTTGTTTCAGATACTGTCCACAACATAATATAGAGTTCACACAGCTCATATGGTCTTCAGCTTAATGCTGATTTTCAAAATATTTTTATTAATTCCACTTCCTTTTGAGCATTAACCTTGTGACAGTCTATAAGTGGAACATTTGAAAGGAAAATCCAAATGTTTTTTTCAGTGCAAGATCTTTTTATAATCCTTATGGTGCGGTCAGAGTTGGTTGAAACTCCAGTTTGTATTGGGACGTGTGGTCCAGGTGTTTTCATATACACCAGTGACGTGATCCAGTTCTGTAGCTCAAACACTCAGGCACTTTCCCCATACCATATCTCCTAAATCCAGCAACAGGATTACAACTCAGTCACATTGTTTCTGTTTTATAAACAAAAACATTTTAAAAAAGAACTGTCAGTTACAGCTGCGTCAATGCAAAAGGCACTTCCGTTTTCAGTTCGCTAAGACCTTTCTAGTAAATTGCACTCAGTTAGGTTTCACCACCATCTAATCCTGCTTGATGACTTTTAAACCACTTCCCATTCATTTTGCAAATTTCCAATATGATGTCATCGTAATTTTACCATTCACTGACTCTGAAATAAATCATCCACTTTGTTGTGCCACCTTTTGACCTTGAAAGGATAGTAAGTGCCACTTTTTGAATTTTGGATGTTTGGACTGAAAATTCGATTTCAATCACTAAGTGAGCGATATCAGGATCAGAAACTATGGAAGGGGAGTCTTTACAAAATCTTCCCAACAGTTAGAAATAAGATGGTTTTAGTGACGTAACATTGTTATTTGAAGGGCAGTGGCCTTGCACTAAGAGTGCTACATAGTCCAACCCCCCGTTTTGTTGCATGTATGGAAGTGGCTGAGGAGTAAAACAATGATCGATCTCCGGCTGTTTGAGGGGTGTTGTACCGTTTCCTCCATTCTCCAGACAAGGTTTCCCCTCCAGTTCCATGGGATCAGGATCAGTGGGGCCCAGTTCAGGCTCCAATCCAGAATTGGCCTGCTTCCTTTTCCTTAGACAGATGATTGTCCCAGCCACCACAGCAAATCCCAGCACCAGTGCAAGAGCAGCTAAAGCAGGTATGAGAGTATATGTCATAGATGGCTGTGTCTCCACCCAGGGCTCTGAGGATGTCACTGGAATCCCTTCGGTACGAGCCTCTGTACATGACCCCATTTCAGCAGAGTTGTTGGCCCGAGAGCTGATTTTCTCTCCCAAAGGACTAGCACAGACTGAATAGGTACAGTTTGGTCTCAGACCACGTAAAGTGTATTCAGGATAGTTGGGTGGAACATTCAGTGTAATGGATCGGCGATCAGGCCCTGAGAGGTTACGGTAGGTCAACTTGATGCCACGAATATGCGGCTGTGACTTGATAAACCGATGCAAGTCAAGAAGGATTGATGTGGAGGTCACCTGACGTGAACTGATGGCATCAAGTTTATCAGGCATCTCGGTGGTAACTATAGAATCTTCAGTTGCTGGTGGTTGAGGAACATCATCCATATTTTCACAGTAGAGGCCAAATGTCCCTGACAGACACAAACAGCCGAGTTCTCCCACTGGGTCAAAATAACAAGTGCCACCATTAAGGCAGATGTTTGGTGGACAAAAGTGCTCATATTGCCCACTGGTGGAGCTTGGGAAGACTGGAGGTTCTGTTTTTGGAGAGATAGTTTCTTCACTAGGTGGTGGAGGAGGAGGAATAGCATTGGTATGGGTTGTTCTTGGAGATGTGTATGGCAACTGTGGAACAGAAGTACTTCCAATGGGAGAGCCCATTTGCAATGTTGTGGTTGATGGACATCCAAAATCTTTGTGATCCAGTTCTGAAAGCATCTTCCCAGCATTAACTAGAGGAAAGTGGCATCTGGTCTCTTCATGTCTCTCAAGAATCACTTTCTTCTCTTTTAGCCAGACAGGGAACCAGGCTAATGGGCACAAACAGTCAAATGGATTCTTAGCTGCTGTCAGGGTTCTCAACTTGGGGAAAGTGTGAAAAAAATGTGGTGGGAATCCCTGGAGATTTAGACTACTGAGATCCAGTTCTTGAAGCCCAGATAATTTATCAAAGTCCTCCACCCTCAGATCCCCCAATGGGTTGCCAGCCAAGCTCAGCTTGGTCAGCCCTTTTAGGAAATCATGTTTTAGGGCCCTGGGCACCTCAGCTAACTGGTTTGATGAAATGTCTAGCTCATGAAGATTCTTCAGGGAGGCTACGAGATCCTCATGTAAAGTAGTAAGCTTTAGAGAGGCCACCTTAAGTGTCTCCAGGTGGGGAGTCTGTAGGTCTGAGGGACTCAAAGTTGGAATATTGTTGTTGCTGAGGTCTAAAAGGAGAAGACTGGGGAACTGAAGTGATGGGAGCGAGGTTAGCTGATTCCCTTGCAGTTTTAGTTCTAGCAACTTTTCTAAACCTTCAAAAGCTTCCAAATGAATGCTCTGTATGCGATTTGAATGAAGATACAGCCTCTCCAGCTGTACCAAGCCAGAAAAACTGCCTTTGGATATATGGGTAATCTGGTTAGTGGACAAGTCTAAGTTCTTCAGTTTTGACAACATCTCAAATACACCATCTGGAATCTCTGTAAGCTCATTCTGGCTCAGATCTAAAAGCTCCAACTCCATTAGACCTTTGAAGTCTTCTTGAGCCAAAGTAATGATGGCATTTTGGAAGATGTAGAGATTTTGTGTCGTTGTTGGGACACGAGGCACAATGGGGGCAGGAAGATTAATGCAGAATATAGACCCCTGCATTGGGCAGTCACAGCTTGCTGGGCAGTCAGATGATAACACCAGCCCAGAAGACAGGACAAAGAGCAGGAAGTATTGTATCATGGCGATGAAAGGCTTGCAAATCTGAAAGACATAAGTGGAATAGAAAATGGTTAGTGTCAATCATTAGTTGCTTGCTAAGGTGCCCATATTTACAAGACAAATTGAAACATAAACCCTGGTAATTTATAAATAGCTCTACAGGTAATATAATTAACTACTCTATGAAATAAATGAATATTATTTAAGAATTTTGTCAGCCTCGTACTCAAACTTAGATTCGTTTTGTCTAATAACAAATGCAACAGTTCCATAAAACATGTCCAAAGGAAGAAATTCAAGTATCAAAGAACACAGAAATATAGAAAAGTACAATGAGGTGGATACACACATACTTATGCTAGGGCTGCTCAATTAATCGAATTTAAATCTAAATTACGATCTGGGCTTTCAAGGATTAGTAAAAATGACTGAGCCGATTATTAGCCCCTCCCTCGTGCTTTACTCTCGCGCTGTGTGGCAAATGGAGCGCACCTCTCTGCATTTCGAACACGCGTCACAACAATTAAGAGGACCCGAGGGAAGCTCGGAAAGCTAAGCAGAAGTTATTTGGAGAGGAGAGTGACTGCTGTTGGTTGAAAAGAGAGGTAAAAAACTTCAGTGGTGCAGAAACATTATGGGTTCGCGGAGTCAGACGCGGCTCAAGTAGACATAGTGTGTAAACTTTGCTACGGTGTCGTAGCTGCACCACAGAGCAACACTGCAAAGATCATTAAACATAGATGTTTACATTTTTTTATTTTTTATATTGCAAACATTCGCACTGTTATCAGTATTTGCACACTATTTTATATTATTTTTTGACAATCTTTTTAAAGTCATTATTCAATACATTGTTATTGTTAAATAAATATCGTCAAATAATCAAGATCTCAATTTCAGTAAAAATAATCGTGATTATCATTTTTGCCATAATTGAGCAGCCCTAACTTATGCTAAAAAAAACAAAACTTTATTTCAATAAACACAAATATGTATGCAAAATATAATGCCTAGAGCCTCATTATAGTGCCTTTGCTTTTCATATCTGTAATGATCATCCTCCCCAGGGATAAAGGCCCATAGGTTAAGTGAGAGGTTAGCACAGGCCACCCAGGGTGACTATTTCTGAGTAGATAAGAAGTCAGTTCAGCCACTTCTTTGTGTTTATGGCATCGTTTTTAGCCCGTGAAACCCAGTCTGCTGCAGTGAAGCATGACATGCACAGCCGCAAGTCTCCCATATACAAACATATCTGAGGCGAATATGGTTTGCTGACAGACACATTACACTATTGTTTTATAGTGCCAAAAAACACAGGACAGTAGAAAACTGTGGAAAATTCAAGCACTGCATTGAAAATTTCCAACTAATTTTCCAGTGGATGTGTGAATGTTTTTTAAATCTCATCCCGCTTCCCTCTTAATCAGCACAAGATTTTACAAGGTAGTGTACAAACAGTGCTCTACAAAGAGATAATTGTGTCATCAAGCGTCTTTACTTTGCCCACTTTTATTGTTTATAGTCACATGTCTTATAGGAAGAATAAAAATAAGCCCCATGTATGCAGCTCACCCAAAAAGAAAGAAAAAACACAAAAAATGCACTTAAATGTATAACTGCTGTGTAGTGAGTAAAGAAGTTTTAATAATGTGTCTGGATTGAGCATAAAAACAGTAACAAACTGTTCTGCTGTGGAATAATGAAAAATGTAAAAAACAATTAACTTACAAATATGTTGCTGTTTTTTTATAATCACATGTTTAAATGTTCCTATTATGGTACACCATTTATCAATGTGCATTTCAGTCACCATCCTTAACATTACATCAGCTCTTTGTCTTTCATCTTCCTCTCTCTCCCCTCCACTCCCTTGGCCTGGTTTCTATTTGTTAAACTCTCACACTATTGCCCTTTCCAGGACTCCTGAGGCGGAAGTCAAGGAGAAACCTAAGATGTTTTATTAAAGTCAGGCGTACACACATAGGGCCATACCTCTATTCCCTCCCTGCCCTATTTCTCCGCCATTCATTCCCTTCACCTCATAACATGAAAGTAGGAATTTGCAATATTCTGGGAAATTCTTTATGTAGTGACAGGAATGGAAAAAAGTGGTGCTGACAAGTGTTTTGAACACAACACAAGATTTTTTTTAGATGAATTAATATGGACGGTGCTCTGACCTGCTGCTCTCTTGATTCTCTGTTAACCTAAAGACACACTTTTATTTAACTGATCTTCCAGGACCAGTTAGAATGTTTCTAATGCTGTTTTATACAGATCACAGCACACTGTCTGGGAATTAGAATCTTATCTCTGATTTTTGTCTCTTGATGCCATACTGTATCTATGTGGGAAACTGGTCACTTTGCTAGTTTTTGCCAAAGAGAACAACACTGTTACACTTCATGTCCAATAAGAAATAAACACGGACACTAAATTGAACAGCTTTACAAACCTGCAAGTCTGCATATACTAGTAATTTTAACTGGTGTTTGAACTTTTAGGTAAAAAAACAAAACAGCAATGCAAAGACATGTTTTCAGACCCAAAGTTACTGGTGTGAGTAACATTTTGTGGCCATTTATCAAAGCAATATATCCATCCATCATTCAGTTTTTTTCTGCTTGTCCAGAAAGGTCACCAGTCTGCTGCAGGGCTAACTTTGCCTGGCATTACTTTGCTTTAGTCACCAAACCAGTACTAGTGGGAAAAAAACAAACAAAACAAACAAAAGCTACAGACACAAACTACAATGCACACCCTAATGCATACAATTAAAAGATCTAAGATGACAGCGTGCTCCACTGAACTATTCCTGCTATGACGGGCTTTTGTTCAGGAGAATGTCTTTATTTAAAGCCACTGCACTCCAGAGTCTGGAGCTTTCTTCGTGTGAAGTCAGTTGTTGTTTACAGAACATTATAGCTGCCTTTCAGTTCTTTAGGGTGCTACCTCTGACACACTTGCTAAGTGAATAGTGTGATGAAAGGAGAGGAACGACTGGAATATGAATGGTTGGAGTATTACACTCTTAAAGCTAGCCTTTATAGGCTTTTATAGAATATGTTTGCAAATCCAAGTGTGTAGGTAATCTTGAGGCCTTGCGCTTGCCAACTAACCACTGTCAGGACATGCACGTTTACAGCCTCTGTGAATGTTCTAGAATAGAATAGAATAGCTCTTTATCCGATTGTTCAGTCTGACGTCACTAGCCGTGTCTGGACCTAAACTCCGCTGCAGGTCCATATATCAAATGATCACTATGGCATTACTGAGAGTTGAAAAACTGTCTAAAGTCTTTCATCTTTAATAAAATGATCAGCGTTCTGCTCTACTAGGTGTAACAATTGAGTTTAACATCCAGGCATCCATGAAAACGGAATTTATGACATTTAACTGAGTTAGAAGTTAGCAGGGAGTTAGCTCGCTAGCTTCTATCTAAATACAATATAGCATGTCCTGACTGCGGGGTTTTGGAAACAAATTAAAACGTACAGCTCTGTTATCACTTCCAACATAAATGAAGACAGAAAACTAAACAGCAGTGATGTTTGTAGGGTTACTGAAGTTTGGCTAGCTGGTATATAATGATGTGCTACGTGACCACTAGCGACACAGCTATGTTAGCATAATATAAACAAGCTAACTTTTTTTTCCCACTCGATAAACGTTAACGTGAGTGTTCTCGGTGGTCAGGAACAAATGTAATCGCATGGCAGGATGCTGTAAAAGGACCAAACTTCAGCCAGGAGAACAACTGAGATAATCCATCCACAATACGAGGTTAGTCATTCATATACTGCTGCATGGGCTGGGCTGTAGTTACATCCTAAGGTTTTAAAAACTGAGCTTAAATAAATGATTAGCGGTAATAAAAGCCGAGGGAGGTCAACAGTGATCACTGACTGTTTTAGGAGCTTTTTGAGATCAAATAGAAGAAAATACAAAACATTAAACATGTTAACAACACAAAAGCCATATTAAACGCAGACTACTTTAGGCCCGGAAGTAGGATTCATCGCGTCATCACTGAACAACCGGATTGTGACTGTTACAAGAACAATGAAAGGCAGTTTGGTATCTCTCCGTGTGAAATACACAATAGCGTAAGCAAGTATTTACATAATAACACAGACAGATTTACATTTACACAAGACAGATATGTACAACTTATTCTTACACCTGCATACATACAGATACACCCATAAAGACAGATATGTACAACTTATTCATACACCTGCATACATACAGATATACACATATATATATATACACACGATATACACATATATATATACACGATATACACACATATATATATACACGATATACACATATATATATATAAAAACACCCAGCACGCCCCTGCGGGCGGTTTATCCTTCAAGCTCGGGTCCTCTACCAGAGGCCTGGGAGCTTGAGGGTCCTGCGCAGTATCTTAGCTGTTCCCAGGACTGCGCTCTTCTGGACAGAGATCTCCGATGTTATTCCCGGGATCTGCTGGAGCCACTCGCCTAGCTTGGGAGTCACCGCACCTAGTGCTCCGATTACCACGGGGACCACCGTTACCTTCACCCTCCACATCCTCTCGAGCTCTTCTCTGAGCCCTTGGTATTTCTCCAGCTTCTCGTGTTCCTTCTTCCTGATATTGCTGTCATTCGGAACTGCTACATCGATCACTACGGCCGTCTTCTTCTCTTTGTCTACCACCACTATGTCCGGTTGGTTAGCCACCACCATTTTGTCCGTCTGTATCTGGAAGTCCCACAGGATCTTAGCTCGGTCATTCTCCACCACCCTTGGGGGCATCTCCCATTTTGACCTCGGGACTTCCAGGTTATACTCGGCACAGATGTTCCTGTACGCTATGCCGGCCACTTGGTTATGGCGTTCCATGTATGCCTTGCCTGCTAGCATCTTGCACCCTGCTGTTATGTGCTGGATTGTCTCTGGGGCATCTTTACACAGCCTGCACCTGGGGTCTTGCCTGGTGTGATAGACCCCAGCCTATATGGATCTTGTACTCAGAGCTTGTTCTTGTG